CCCATGAATGATGAGCCCTCCACAGTAGTACTAAATTGCATTACAGAGGCAGTAGTGATCTGTGTTGTCATTATGTAAACTGCAGTGAATCAGTTAGTCATTCAATACAGTCCCTAATTGAATAATTAGATTCCTCTCTGTGTAAAGCTATGCATGTTTGTCTCCCCCCTGTGCTAGCAACAAGCAACAGATGGAGCGTGTTATGTAATCATATCGATGTAAATGAAAGTCACAGATTATCCTGAGAGACGTATAATAACGTGGCGTGCTTACACTCATCGTGCCGGAGCTGATAAATACTCTGAGTCCTTCTGGATGGCGGTATCTCACGCAGGTGACAGTGACAGAGGGCTTGCTGTGTTTTTCATATGGAGAGAGACAGCAGTGGAGAGTGATGATAATATCGTGTCTCATCCATCCAGGTTTTCCACATGCACGTTTCCTGCCCGCAGTATCGGCAGCGACAGAGCAGCGTGCAAACTCGTGTTGAACAGGTTTTCGGGATACTTAATGTGGGATGCGTTTCAAGTGGCTTTTCGGAGTTCGAAGGTTCTTGGCTTCGTTATAGATTGTTGCACGCAGACTGCAAAACTGGACTCTTCCAGTGTATATTCTTATTGATGGCCAGCAGGGGGCGACTCGTCTGATTTAAAAAAAAGAAAAAAGAAGTCAGAAGCATATTGGTGTGAATGGTAAGTAGCTAGACCCAACATTTAGTCCATGATTGCATCGGCAAATACTGAAACATCACAATGGGACTTTTCATAGCAGTGGCTTATGTCATGATGGCTACATGGAGTCTATGATACTGTTATGCTAGCATCAAGGCCCTGTTGATGACAACGATTAAATCTTATTAGTCTGGACCAGTCAATCCACTGTCACATTTCTTTTAATTTAGTCTTATTACAATTTATTGCAAATTAGACTGCCTTCGATCCTCTCATGTTTCAACTTGTGCTGACAGTGGAATATTTCAATAACTTGAGGATAGATGGCCATGAAATTTGGGTTGGACAGCTTAGAATTAATCAAACATTTTTTTAATGTCACTACTTTTTCATCATGTGGCATCACTAAATGAAGGTGTCCGTGCTAATTAGTGGATATGGAACTTTGAAGTTCTTGTAACTTTTGAAGGAAAACATTGTATTTCTGTGCGTCTTCACATACATCAATGACCTCCTGACCCAGTATGAACCATCCAGATCCCTCAGGTCATCTGGATCCGGTCTTTTATCAGTTCCCAGAGTCAGAACCAGACACGGAGAAGCTGCATTCAGCTTTTATGCTCCTTATATCTGGAACAAACTCCCAGAAAGCCTCAGATCAGCTGAAACACTCAGTTTATTTAAATCCAGGTTGAAGACTCACCTGTTCTCAGCTGCATTTGAATAAAGCACCAAATCCACACTTTAAGCTTAAATTTCAAAACTTACATTTAACTACTGATTTTATCTATTGTTCTGATTTTATCTGTTTTGATTTCATATACTGTTGTTTGTTTGTTTGTTAATTAGTTAGTTAGTTTATTTGCTTGTTTTATTCAATTTTAAATCATGCTTTTTATTTGTTCTTGTTTCTAATGTCTCTGTAAAGCACTTTGAATCACCTTGTTGTTGAATTGTGCTATACAAATAAACTTGCCTTGCCTTGCCTGCAGGAACTAGGGACCAAACCTCCTACAACGTCATTTTGTGCATCTTTTTTTAAGCTTCTACTTCAGTGTAGATATGTGCGGTTATTGGTCAAGATGGAAGTGAATGTGGATTGCTGCAGCACCAGCAACCCACTAAAAATAATCCATGAAAACATGAAAAAGCCTTTATCACGACTCAAAAAAGGACGGTTATGGTTGTTGCTATTTGGCAGCATAGAAGGTGCTGATATACAGTTGTGGTCAAAATTGTCCATCCACTCATCATGGGCTTAAGTTTCATGGTCATTTTTTAAAATGATTTCTCTGAACTTGTCTTTTTCCAGGGTGGAATGATTGTACATTATACATATTTACTGACTTAAAAAAGGTTGGTTTCCTGCACAGACCTGGATTTTAACCATAGTTAATAGATTTTTAATGGGTTTGAAGTTGAGTAAGGTGATGAAAATTGGGTTTTATTGACATACAGTCATCTCCAGATTGTCTCTTTGAGGGCAGCTGCCTGCTGATAATACCATGTATGTGTTTCATGCACTTCATGTAACACTATGACAGATCAGTGACTTGTGGCACTGGAGCTCCACTGAGTGGTGACACAAACCCAGTTGCCCGCTCCCACGGGACAACAGAAGAAAGTACGTTTTGAGACAACCATCGCAGGTTCAAGTCACAAACAGTCTGCACAGAGGCCGCCCGAGTGCTCCAGTTCTGGTGAGCTTCCTTCTTTGAGGTCATCGGTCCAGGCTACTGTGGTAGACAGTGCAGTGTGTTCCCCGAGGCAGCGAGTCCTCACCTGACCCCCAGAATCACAACACAGTGTCCCCTTGTACTGCAGCGTGGCGCCTGGAAGTCATCACTGATACTGGCAACACACAGGGGGGCTCTGAGGTCATCAATAATGACTCCATTTACTTAACACTGACCTAAACACCTGCTCATTTATCACGGCTGACATGTGTCAGCCATGCCCATTTCTCACAGAGGAGCCAGCCACAGCAGATCTTGATCTGGGTCGCCTCCTGCACTGAGAAGGGCTTTAGTGAGTAGATTAGTACACAGAGGGGGCTAAGTGCAAATAGCTATACACACCTATCCTTGTACTATGACTTACATTTTGTTGTAAAATGCTGGACACTGCCAAAGTGTGAGTGTGGATGTTAGCAAGCCAAAAAAACTAACAAAAAAAGAAATGGTCTTGAATGTGCTCTGTTAAGGAGTAACACACCTGAGCAGGCAATTTGTACACTAGTTATTTTAAGGTTTCCAAGCGTCTGCCACTGTGTGTTACAGCATGTGTGAAATTCTCCCTGGAAAACTGTTTTCCTGTTTTTTAAATGATTATATTTCAAAACACCTGTTGAAAAACACAGTCTGCTAAACACATGTCTTTGGATAGTGCTTTATAACATTTTATAATTTAAGGTATAATTTAATTTATTAGGTATAATTTTCCTTACCTAAAAACACTTCAAACATAACTACAGTATAAAAAAAAAGAAAGAAAGAACTAATGATGTAAGTGTTGTCGTGAGTTGTGGAACCCATGGAACTTTCCAGAGATGTTCAGGTTCCTGTTCAAGTCAGGGGTCCATAGTGCTCTAGGGCAGGTTATCATTAAGGATGTCTCTGCTGCATTCATCTTTCCCTTGACCCTGACTAGTCTCTCAGTCCCTGCATCCCACCATGCTTCATTGTAGCAGGCCAGGAGATGAGCGATGCCTCGTTTCCCGCAGATCCGACGCTTGGCATTCAGGCCAAGCATCTCGATTAAGCCCACTCTACCCCGTTAGCTCAGAAGAGTCTAGAGACTTTAAGAAGAGTCCTGGTGGCTTCAAACCTCTTCTATTTGCAGATGATGGAGACCACTGTGCTCACTGGGACCCTCAATTATGCAGAAACTTTTCCTGTACCCTTCCTCAAATCCGTGCCTTGATACAATCCTGTCTCATAGGTCTACAGACAGTTCCTTGGACTGCACAGCTTGGTTTGTGCTCTGACATGCACCGTTAACGATGGGCCCTTATGTAGACAGTTGTGTGCTTATTGGGCTCACATCCAGTCAACTGAATTTACCACAGGTGGACTTCACTTAAGTAGCAGAAGCATCTGATAGATGATCAATGGAAATATTGTAGTTTTGTTTAATAAACTTACAAGAACTTTTCACCTTGTCATCATGAGGTATTGTGTGTAGAATTTTGAGGTGAAAAATGAATTTAATCATCTTCCCTACAAGATGATGAAATCTTTCTGATTACAACACAAAGATCATCAAACATCAATCAAATGGAGCCTGTTAGATTTTTTTTAAAGCGCGTTTGAAGAATTAACATTCGAGTGAGCGCCTCTGTTCTTCATCTGAACACCCGGGGTTTTTCTCGTTTGTAGCACTCGAGAATAAATCGAGTTCAGACACAGTCAGGATTTGCGCAGGTATGCGACGGCAGAGCTCTGTTTCGTCAACACACATAATGCTGGACGCATCGTTTACTTCCTCTCCTTTAATTTCTCCTGGCACAACGGCAACCTCTCTAATGCTGCTTTGGTACTCTTCCCTTGCTCGCCGTTTCATTGCGTGTAGTTTTGAATCTTTAACTAGTTACACAGCTTTGCTTACACGTGCATTACCACTCACATCTGTTCCAATAGAGCTTTCTCATGGTCCGAGTTGTTCAGGTGCCTTTAGACAAACTTAGTGGGCTGTCATACATGTCAGTGACCTGACTGCTGGGGTGCTCTCCCCGTCTCTCATCTATGTGAAAGACCTCCACAGGGCCGTGCATATTTCTTTTAGAACTCAGATCTTTCCTACATTCATGCCTAACATCCAGACAACTCCAGTGTGTGAGAAGCACTACAGGAGAATTCACTGCATTTTAGTGTGAATGAATAGAAACACGTTTGGAAACAATGACACGGGCACCCACGTTTGCTGTCTAATTGGGTATTCCCCATCACACCCCTAACACACAGCAGGCTTCTGGAAGAAAATAAAGACATCAGACTCGACTACAAACAGTTAGAACGACACAGATAACATTGCTGATGTTGTTTGTAGATTTGAGCGTTTTTTTCCCCCAAGCATTCACATGTGCAAAGATTCTTTTTAATTAACTTAACCGGTACTAAAATGCACACCTGCACCCCATTTATATTGGCTATTACGCATTGGTTACCTCTCTGCCCGAGGCTGTGGCCAGCTTGGCTGGGCAGCCAGAGTAGACTGCAGGAAGTTGCGAGCTTCTCCAATTTGAGAAAGATTAAGGATTAGCAACTCCTGCAGCTTAGCTGTGTTTCTAACCAGATTAGAGTAGAAAAGCACTATATGCATGTGTATATATGTGCTTAACTGATTTATTAGACCACTTGTCATAAAAACAAGAAAACAAAACTATTTGAGAAATCTGTCAAAAACATTAAAACTAAAAATGACTTAAATCACATTTTTTATACCAAAAAAAAAACCCCACTATGGACTTCTCTTAGAAGTCAGAAATGAATCAAGCATAACATTCAACAACTAATGTTTCTGTTCAGGAATGAAAATAAAGAAATGCATTTGGCATCTTAATGGAAAAATAGTTTTAATGTTTCTTTCCCTGCTTTCTGTAAATATGAACACTACAAATGTATATTTGCATTAAAAATAGCTGTCCATAACGTTGGATCAACCATTATGGAAACAGGAATTATGAAAAAAGTAAACGCTCTCTTTATGATTATGGACACTTTTGGGGGGGATGAGACAGATTACCCAATTGTTAGTCACAGCTGTAATTGTGCAGACTTTCCCACACATGGATTAACCCTAGTCTTAAGACTAAAAGGGAAATTAAATTGAAAGCTCCACTGTTAAAATTTCTGAGCCCAACTTTAATCCAAGGCTGCTTTAAAGTAGCAGCACTAAATGACCGATTACGATGTCCTAGTATGTTCCCAGTATTGGATTCCTAGATTAGGCATGAAGAATCTATACTACGCCCTCTCGTCTGTGTGTAGAGGCAGCTTTCTTAAACAGGTTTGAGCCAGTCGCAGCATGCAGACACACTGGGACAGCAAACCAAACAGAGTAGCTCGAGGGTCTCTTGCTGTTGTCCTGCCTTTTGTTTTGTCGCCCTCCTCCTGCTGTCTTCAGCTCCATAGGAGAGCTGTGTATGGCTTACAGATCGTGCCTCTGAACATCAATAATAGAAGGCTCGCAGCACAGAGCGCAGAAAGGCCACAGGCAGCGGGACAACTTAATACCATTCAGTTACTAATTAACTAATTGAAAGACCAAGGTCTCTAAATCTGGAAGTACAAATAACTGATTATGTCTCTTTGTGCTCGTACAGAAAGTGATCATCCGTTTTAAAATGAGGCGTAAAATCAAGAGCAGAGCGAGTGTGAAATCTTGTGGCTCAGCCGCGTATTTGTCTGCGACGCTCAATGCGCTCTTATTACGGACAGTAATGAGAGCCAATAAAGAGCTGATTTATTGTTGGCGCTGATTCTTAATTTATTTATTTTTCCCTCTGGAGGATTTGTAGGTGGCAAGTGAAGCCTGTAAGGTCAATCACACGGAGCTGTAAAATGAGATGTATCCTGCATTGACCAGGGCCAAAGTGTAGAGGAGGCCCGGGGGAAGAGGGGAAAAGATATAGAGCCGGGAGAGCTTCAGTGGAAAGAAATGGACTCCATTTTTGTAAGTCCTCCTCTCCAGCTGTCATCCTGCTCTGTCCCATGGGGGGTTGCCACGGTGACAGGAGGCCACATGTCTTGGGGGTGTCGTTTTGGTCAAAGGACCCCATTGTTCTTGTGTTAAGCCGCCTTCAGTATGCCCGTCTGCCAGGGACAGGGGCTTCACACCCTTCACGTACACACACTCTCCCGCGCTCTCTCTCACAGACAACACACCCAACACCCACTCATATTATAGAGGTGCAGCAGTTTGGCTTCAACTCTATAAACTGCACATTTACAAAGATGATACAAGTTTTAAAAGAGACAAGAGCAGACAAACACACAGTGTCACAGTCGAGCAGAAAAACGCACACACACACACACACGAGCCTAGTCTGTGTGTTTTTTCTCTCTCCAAGCAGTAGCAGCCATCCATAAAGTTGAACTTCCACACATTTATATTATTCCCACTCTTGACAGTAGCATCATTTCCTGACGCACCCTCCCAGGAGCGGCACATCAATAAGCAGCAATTCTGCAAGAGTGCCACCAGATGGCAGTGTGGCCCCACTGCAGCCACACAACATCACATTAGTGGGTTTATGATTTTGTCCATCTGTCTTCCGGTGGGAATAGAGAGCAGAAAAAGGCCTTGGCAGATCACTAGTGGGGCCAAAAACCTCTGTCGTCCTTCAGCCAAGTGACTGACTTGATGTAAAAGGAGGCAGTCAATTACTCAGTGATGGATAGATTACAGTCATGCATCATTCTGCGAGCCAATTTTCCTATGTGAACTGAATCTGAAACTCAATTTGTTACTGCCCTCTGTGACAGATGGATGGAGCCGGTACTGAGCAACAGATTTTAAAAATCAATAACCGCTGGAACTTGGGTGGAGGTTAGAGGTCAATTTACTTTCAGGCATTTGGCCATGTTTAAAATACAGAACAGGACGGTTTATGCTAAAGGGAAAGCTGCTGCACTTGAACTCGAGTGACCACACACAGCTGGAACGTCACGTTTGTGGAGACAAGCGGCTGCTTTATTATCTGGATTAATTTGCTCTAAATGAATCTAAAGCATCCTTTTAAATGAACACAGTTTGTTCTAATGTGCCATCTTTACATGGAGGCAATATATTTAGTTAGAAGCAGATGCTTGTAAGGTTCAAACTGTACCTTACAAGCATCTGCTTTTCAATAACCACAACTGTTTAGATTATTAAAAAACAAACAACAACAACAACCACCAATCACAATTAAGCAGAATTACTTGAGCACATTCATTTAAGTTCTCTGTGTAAAGCCCGCCTGCCTTTGGCTGACACATTTGGTGAATGCGACACAGCCATCTTCATCCAGCCTCAGGAGCAGATATTGACTTCATTTCCTGATCCAGTGACTTTGTAGAGGCAGACTGAAGATGCACTGTGATTACCAGCCGAGTGCCACGATATTGATTAGGTGGTCAGCAGAGATGATTGAGCTCTCAGCATATTGACTAGCTTAGTTACTGGAGGGAAACCACTCACAAATTGCTGGTCATCTCTAATAATTCACAGAGAAAGAAACAAAAGAAAAAAAAAAAATCAATGTTTTAGCTAAGTGTAATCTCAGTTCATTAAGTTAGGTAAATGATCTCAGGAGGCATCTCCTGCCTCCTCAGGGAGTGACGGTTGGCTGGGCAGAGCAGCACTGAGCCGACGGCCCCGGGTCCTCCTGCGGGTCTCTTTGCTGGACTCGGGAGAGGTACGAGGCAGCCAGGTGAGTCCTGCACTGCTGCTGTTCTCAGCGTTGCTCTGGTTTCTCAGGCTGCGCCGCACTGAGCGCTGCCCTCTAGTGCAAACTGGTTTAAACACATCCTCAAAATTAAAGTCAGCTTGCCAGGGAGCAAGGTCCACATGAGCCGTTTCCCCCTCTTCCTGGCTATCAGAGCTTGACTGGATGTTTTCCTGTGAGCTTGCTGCTCGGTCTCCCTGTCTTTCCTCCTCCTCTTCACAGCTGGTTTGGTGCTTCTTTACATAGTTCTCCTGCTCCGCTGTCACTGAGCTGCTTACAGAGCTCCTCCTGCCATGCTTGGCTTTCCCGTGTGCTGGCTCTGTGCTGTTCAGGCAGTCTAAAGTAGGTACATGTGCACTCACGGGATATTCTGACTCTGTGCAGGGTGTATCTGCAGAGGTCTGGGCACAAAGTTCAACAGTGTCTTCTTGTCTCTCTTCATGTACAGAAGGGGTTCTCGTTGATAGCTCAAGGCTTGTAGTGGTTTGCTCTTCATAGAGCTGCTGCTCTGTCTCTCCTCTGGTCAGGTCACTGTCAGCGACACTGACCTTCCTTTTCTTCAGTCGTCTTCCTCTGACCCTCACCCCCAACAGCCTGCTGTCCTGCCCGGCACTTTTTTCACTCAAGCTGGGCGATGTGACAGAAACTTCTACAGTGGTTTCTGAGGCATTTGTCACAGCGAGGTCGTGTATCACTTGAGTTTCATTAGTTACCTCAGGATTCAGCTGGGTTTCCTGATCTGGAGCTGTGAAGAAAAATGAGGACAAAAGAAAAATCTCAGGAAAAAAATGTTTCCACTGGTTTCCCCTGAATCCAAAGGTTCTCATTTTTTAGGAACTAAAATAAAGTTTGACATCCAGACATTGATACCGTCTGCAACCACAGGTTAAATCACACACTGGCAACTTTCTTTTCCTTTTTTTTACCCTTACAGCTGATTGAAGGAGTCTCCTGTGCTGTTGGAGACTGACTGATGAAGGACAGCCTCTCGGTGATGGGACTCAGGGCGGGGTTCTTGGAGGCATATTCACGTGAGCCGTACAGCGAGCGGTCTACGTCCTTGTTCCATCGACGCGTTGTGCTGGAGGTCATCTGGGGACCAACAAACTGCAGTGTTAGAAATTTCTGCATTGACAAGCCTGCAGAAGCGTTAAAGCTGGCAAGTATCCACCTCTGATATGGTATGCAGAGTGTTTCGATCTTGCACATTTCATTAATAATACAATGATTATCTAATGCACAAACATATTTTATAAACACAAACATAAAATTGAAAAAAGCTGAAAATATTTTATCAATTAGCTCAAAATTAAAGAAACTGCTGGAGAATGTTCACTCATGCTCTTGGGCAAATGTGTGTTATGGATATAAAACCTTTAAGATGGAAAACTGAATCCCTGCAGGAGTAATAATCTGCTTCATCCTCCGATTCTTACGATTCTGCTTCGGTGACACTTTGTGCTCATCAGTGTGTCTTGTAGTCAGACAGCACTTTCATTTTCATCAGCTGTCTGCATTTCATGGAGTGTAATAGGGCTGCGCGATATGACCAAAATCTCACATCCCGATAACGATATATATCACAAAAAAGTGCAATGTGTGTAAATTCTGTGAATCTCAGGCAACTAAACTTGTGTGAAGTGTTTTCAGCTGGGCGTCGTGTACCTGGAGTCGAGTGTTTTGACCAATGCATGAAGCTATATATTTTTAGATATAAGTTATAACAGCTGCCCTTTTCTTTGTATTCATTACACGGCGTGCTGCGGAGAAAAGCCCGTTCTAACATTTGAGTCTAAGTTTTATTTTGAGCACCTGACGGCTCTTTTTTGCTTCTCATCCGTAAACTCTCTCCATACTCTTTCACGTGATTCTTGCGTAGGTGGTAGACGAGGTTTGTGTGTGTTTGAGTCTGTGGTGGGAACCGGTTTGAGCATAATTTGCATGATACATTTTTCTGGTCCTTGTCAGACCTTTCATAATTAACCAGGTCCCTCTGTTTGGTGCTAACTGGTTCTGTATAATCTTCACTGGCCATGCTGGTATTCTTCGTGGCTGCATCCACATTGTGACCATCGAAACAATGAAAAAAATAAACTGTATTTTGCGACACCACGAGACAAATTATAGCGTATAATATGAAACGATAGATGTTCTAATTCTGTCATCCGATATATTTCATCATATCGCACAGCCTGAGAGTGTAACTGAAGAAGTTGTTTGACAGATCTGAACACAGAGCTTTAAATACAGTCCTGACTGGGAGCATTAATCTATGAAGAAAAAAACAAACCTAAAGTACGGCTACAGTTTGTGTCTAAGGGGGAAATTTTTTATTTTGCCTGTGAGGGTTCTCCCTGCTTCCCAGGACTGGACACTTTGCAGCCATTCAGTGTTCGACAGCAGCTCTCTCTCTCATAACCGTGTAAACACTGGGCTGCATCTGACTGGGCGAACGCCTCACGTGGGCTTTCAAACTGAAAACAACATGATGGCTTGTTTGCCAACTTTCTTTGGGATATGTTTGTGAAAACATGCGAGGTGAGAAAGAAGACATTGAGTTGCTTAATCTGTCCTCATTTTAGTTCCACCGGCTGGTTTAAACCAAACACAGATATTTTACTTCAAGCATCCGATCTGACACGATGCTGCCAGAATACTAGACCCGTTACACAGACGATGAACAGGAAGTGTGGAAATGATGGATCCCGTGGACATGAGCTGGGCACTGCACACTCAGTAAGTGGACTGCAGTAATGTGAGCTTCAGTCTAGACAGCTATCAGGACCCTGTGTGCTTGACCTGCCCTGGGCTAAACCCATTTCACTTATCCTACCTTTTTTATGCTTTGCACTAGTGAAGTGTTGACACATGAAAATGTAATGCACATTCAACTAAAGTACTGAAAATGGGAAGAATAGGGAAAAGAAAATAGAAAAGTGACATGTGGATGTTAGGTGATCATAGTGTGTTGGGGAAAAAGTCTAGTAAGAGCATGTATGTTTAAAAATAAATCACTGTCACACAAATGCTTCCACATAGTCAACTGCAGTACGTGTTCAGTCGGCAAACACATGATTACAGTGGTTTTGTCAATGTTTTATCTTATTCTGTGCTTTGTTTCCTTTTCCTTCTGCCCTATTGTGACTTCCTACCCTACTCACTGTGAATACATGGATGTTGTAAATACCATCACATTTCCTTGAATTAAAAAAAGAAAAAAAAAGAAAAAGGTAGTGATGTATATGTTTGTGAACTGTTTAATGAGGTAGGTATTTAATAATCGTGGAAATTAGTTTGGGTCTGCTGTGTACAGACATGCCAGAAATTACCGGTGGCTGGCAGTGTTACCCCTCAGCCTCCTAGTACTATTGACTAAGTGTGAAACTAGTCAATAGTACCAATTTCAAAATTGTATGTTGCCTCATTTCAGTTATCGCATTCACATGATTTTCAGAAAGCTCTAACCTTGAGGTTACCAGGAATCAAACCTGTCCCAAATGTGAAACTTCTATGTTGCCTCATTCTTAAGTTATTGCATTAACAAATTTGCGTGTCTATGCTGCCTGCCTGCCCGCCCGGCAGGGTGACGACAGTACACTCACCATCGTTTTACAGTTGAGTGGATAAAAAAAAAAACTGGATGGATCAACTATTGTGTTGTTTTTTGTTTGTTTTAAAACAGGATCTCTTGACAACAAAAACACAGATCATCTCCAAATTTTTCTATGATTGAAAGACTAAAAAGGTTGTGATCTGTCTATTCATCTGGTCTATCCCCAACAGTACACAAAAGTCACGCTTAGGGCTGCTCGATTATGGCAAAAATAATAATCACGATTATTTTCACTGAAATTGAGATCTCGATTATTTGACGATATTTATTTAACAATAACAATGTATTGAATAATGACTTTAAAGATTGTCATAAAATAGTGTGCAAATACTGATAACAGTGCAAATGTTTGCAATATAAAAAATAAATGAAAAATGTAAACATCTGTTTAGTGAACGTTGCAGTGTTGCTCTGTGGTGCAGCTACGACACTGTAGCAAAGTTTACACACTATGTCTACTTGATCCACGTCTGACTCCGCGAACCCATAATGTTTCCACACCACTGAAGTTTTTTTTACCTCTCTTTTCAACCAACAGCAGTCACTCTCCTCTCCAAATAACTTCTGCTTAGCTTTCCGAGCTTCCCTCGGGTCCTCTTAATCAGCGGTCCCCAACCCCCGGGCCTCGGACCGGTACCGGTCCGTGAGTCGTTTGGTACCGGGCCGCGAGAGTTGAGGCTCAGGTGTGAAATGTATAGTTTTCAGGGTTTTTATCGGTTTTCAGCGTTATTTTGTTATCGTTTACTCAGTTTTCCTTGGTCTTTTCACGTGTTATGAATAAATTTTCTTTTTTTCGGTACTGGTACTAGTTTTATTTTGTTGTATTTATCCGCGACACCTTAAAGGCCGGTCCATGAAAATATTGTCGGGCATAAACCGGTCCGTGGCGCAAAAAAGGTTGGGGACCGCTGCTCTCCGTGTTGCCAACTCCTCAGTAAGGAAAATCGCTATTGGCTGTCCTAAAAGTCGCTAGAAGTCGCCAAATGACGTCACCGCCTAATTTGTATAATTGGTCATGCTAATGTAATTGTAACCTACGTTGTTGGAGAGAGAAATAACATCGTGGAAGAGACATAAAGTGAGTAAAAAAACGTCCTAAATGCAGTTAGAATTTATTTAGAACTACAAATTAAATTTCTTTTAGCAATTATTGTTTTTTAATGTCACAATTCCAACCCTGCTCCTTTATCCGGGCCTGGACTGGCAAAAGTGACCCGAAATTGGCGCTCTGGTGGAGTTACTTTGTGTGTGAGAGTGTTTGTTTATAAGTAGTTTTAAACCTTGTGATCCACAAAACAGCATAACAGTAAAAGAAGAACTGACTGCGTTACAGTCAGTGCGGGAGCAGCAGCTTCACTCATGCGCGATTCATTTGCCCTTTGGACGCATAGGTGTGAACATCTCCTGCCCTGATAACAGCGGGGGAGGACTATCCTCCGCCTGGGAGAGCTTTGGCACGGGTGAGGTGCCCACGGCAGCACCCGCTGCTTGTTGAGAGAGCGATACGCGTTTTCACGTCAAAAAGTCGTCATAAATAAGTCTCCAATAATACCAGAAAAAGTCGCCAGATTTGTCGCTAGTCGCTTTTTAGAAAAAAAGTCGCTAAGGGGGTCTGAAAACTCGCTAAATATAGCGACAAAGTCGCTAAGTTGGCAACACTGGCTGCTCTTAATTGTTGTGAAACGTGTTCGAAATGCAGAGAGGTGCGCTGGATTTGCCACACGGAGCAGCGCGAGAGTAAAGCACGAGGGAGGGGCTAATAATCTGCTCAGTCATTTTTAATGATCGTTGAAAGCCCAGATCGTAATCGTGATTAAAATTCGATTAATTGAGCAGCCCTAGTCACGCTTGATACATATCTCAGATTAGGGCTGGGCGATGACCCAAAATTCATATCTCTATAATTTTTAGCTGGATGGCGATATAAGATATATATCTCGATATTTTTTTAAGCCATAAAGTAAGAACAAAAAGAGTTCTTAGTTAAAGCTGTTTCCCAGATGTCACACAGGCACTTTTATTAACATACAGCATAGATGTACATGAAAAAAAATTACTCAAAAATAAATTATGCTCCATAAATAAACTAAAACAATGTTGTTTTTGTGTATAACAAAAAGCTCACAATTGTGCAGTCAAAATGTAAACAAAGACGCTGAGCATAATAACAAAGAGACAGATTTCACAGCTGCTCTGTTCCCGAGTTTTACTGCGTGACTGACAGCCTGGAGTTTGAAATCCGCTTCGTAACCATGACTCTGAACAGGTGCCATTTATGGTCCTTATACACACAATACGGTAATATTACGTTGAAGCACAGTACGTATCACTCCGCGAGGCTCCTCGGTAGCCGTAATGCTCCGACAATCCATCAAGCGGTGCAGCTCCGTAGCTTACCAAAGTCGTACTAAAATTGGTTCGCGGTCATCAAGCACAACCAAAATTCATACATAAGGCGCGCTGTCAACTTTTGAGAAAATGAAAGAATTTTAGGCCGTGCAGCCCAGAGTGGTTAGGTCATTAGCTTGGTTAGCTCGTTGACACCGTCCAGCCTCACGCACGGGGCGATGCGCAGTAACTCGTTAGCAGAGATTTGCCGCGTCCATTTTGTCGCTGCCTGCAGGTGAAGCGATGGGGGAGGAGGAGTTGTGTTCAGTGAAGGAGAGAGGCGAGGCGGAGTAATGTTGCGTAGAGACAAAAGTGGACAAAAGAGAGGCAAACTTGTGGCTCCACAAGTATAATTATAACGTAACATATACTATATCGATATTAAGGATATTGTCACATCTTATCTCGTATAAAAATATATCGATATATCACCCAGCCCTATCTCAGATGCGAGGTCATGGTTCAGTAGGTTCTCAGTACAATAGTGAAATAAGAATATAAACCCAATAACATTAATCTTAATGTAACAGTTAAGGAACCCGGATGCTGAAAAAGTGATAAAAGCTTATCAGTTTACCGATGCTAACAATACAGGATTAGGATGACATATCACACAAAGGTCCTAGACAGAATTTTCATCTGGAACGCTGCCCCAATTTGAATGTCCTGATCTGGAAGTCGGAACAATCCCAAAAACCCAGAGTTAACGATCCAAAAGGGCAGCAGTATCTTGGATTCATGGATAAGAGTCTATCCATGAATGTCCTCAGCGTTGTTCTTACATTAAGTATTATGCTGTATTGCTTGATATAGATGAATTCCTCTACTTTGCCAAAGCAAAACAAATCCTTTTTTTCATGCTTTTCCAATTTTCCTATTGGTACACACCAACTTGGAATTCTAACATCCCACTCCCGAGGTAACTGGAGGATGGCATAACATAAAAAGTGTTGTTCATGCAAACCTTTACACCAATCCAGATTTGACCTATGGAGTGTCATTCCCACCAGTATACACTGTACATGTATGTCCGTGTGGGCTGCATAAGCAAAACCCTTCACTGTGTGTAGCCAAATACTACATAAATGGATCCATATGGTTTCATGGTATTCCACTTCTATTAATCAGCAGAAACATTTCACCCTGTGTAAGTTGCTTTGCTGCCAGCTTTAAAATCCAAACCTAACAATATGCTATAACAGGTCCTTGTAGAACCCATTATTAAAGTACCTTCATGGTGTGGAAATTTGCATAGTCAGATCAAACCGTAACGTCTCCTCTGGTTCTGTGCCACAATATACACCTCACCACTACGATATAAAGCACAAACAATCTCACTTTGTCTCATCAAACTTCTTTGTGTAATTATCTGTGACAGCAGTGTTGACTCTCCACTCATGCACAACTTTATGAATAAGGATCAGCATTACCACTATACATGATATCACAGATGTGCTATTTGCAGCTCTATATGGGCCATATTAACATGAATACATACTCACTATGACCTTAAGTCATAGTCAGATTGTGTAGCCATCTTCTACATGACAGCTTGTAAAAAGACAATTCTGCAAAGCCCTCAGTGAAGTGATGGAAGGAGAAATCAAACAAGCACACTCATCCAACTCACCTTCATCTTCCCAGAGGCCAACTTGGCAGCAGACCGTGCCGACCTCTTCACAGGTTCACTCTCTTCTGGCAGCTGGGGGAACAGAAACGTTTACCCCAGGATATATTATATAGACACACTCTCTCACACACACACACACACACACACACACACACACGTCCTTAAATGTGATTAAGCTCACATCCAGCAGAATTAAACAGTAGATTAGATTGGAACATGTTATGACCTCCAAATGATTAAGAAAAGAAAAAAAAGGCCATCTTTGCTTCTAAATGGACATTTGTACACGTGAATCATGCAGTTTATGGGAACAGCATACCTTCCTCTTTCGGCTGCTGGAGCAAGCTTGAGGTTCGCTTCCAAGTCCTTGTTTTGGTGCTGACTGCAAGAGAAAATTGCACAGAATAAAATTCTCTAGAGGATGGTAATAAATTATTTTGGTAGAGTATTTTGTTTAACATTCCCATGAGCTCACAGAGATGTATCCTAGAATTTGAAGAAAAAAAAAATCTTAAATGTGGCAGACCTTTCTCCTTCTGTTGCTGGATCGGGCTGCAGTTGGACCTCCAACTCCAGCGTCTGGTTGCTTCTCCTTCTCTGGCAGGGAGTCAGGCTCAGACTGGTCATCCATCTGGGAGGTTGTGCTGGGGTTGGTGTCAGACTCTGGGGGAAAACCTACAGTATTACAGCTGAAAAGACTTCTGTTTGAGATTATAGCAATAACTGATTATAACAACTCGGCTGATTAGCGTGGAAAAAAGATTCACACAAATTAATACAGTCCAACTGACAAAAGGAACTGTGCAGCTTTTAAACCAACAGGAGGAGGTTTAAGGATGCCTCTCATTCTGACTTCTCTGATTGTTTTAATCTTTCTTTTATAATTAGAGAGGCAGAAGGCGGCTTAATTTCTTAATATGATGTAAAAATAAAAATCCTGACGTGATTCAGCTCCACACAACAAGGTCTTTTACGCTGGTGTACTCAGATTTGCTGGAGAAATAGAGGTTACAGAAGTAGATCGATGAGGACAGGAAGCTAAGTGACAATTAAAAGAAAAAAAGCTATGACAGCTGTTTACCTGTCAGAAGCTGAGAGAGAGACTCCTCGTAGAAGGCACTGTTTAAATTCAATGGCTGGGCATCCCACGCCCATTCTGAAAATGAAACAAATGAAAGAAAGCTGTTATCGTATCAGAGCTGAATTGCATTCCACTGGAGACAATAAGCCATCTCTCTCAGGGTCAATAAACTGTAATCAACCTGTATCACTCGCCACAGCAGAGCCAATCTCCTCCACCGAAGGGAAAACAATCTAGGACCAGAAAATAGAAAAGCAGTATTATTTACTGATGACTAATATTTATAATCAAGACCAGATCGTGGGTCATATCCTGAGCCTTGCAGAGAACAGACAAGAGCTAACAGCAGCAGGTAGCAGACAATAATTGTTACGCCCCCACATGAAAGCAAGGCGAAGAGGGTGGGGGACAGTAACAGTTGGATCCGGGTTGAAATGAAAAGGACACCAGGCAGAGGTGTTTAACACAAAATAAATCTATTATAATTAATTAACCCAATAATCATATAAGCAGTAACAAAAGAAGGAGACAGCAACGCTGCTTTAATGATAAATCAGACAGGCCAACCCAAAGAGATGGTGACCGCTTCAACTAAGAAAACAACTATAAGGCTTCAACAGAAAAAGACAGCAACGCTGCTATTAGCAATAACCAGGCAGGCCAAACCAAGAAATGGAGGCCGCCGTCACTTAAGCAAAACCACTGCCCAGTTGAGTTACTCGCAACAAGCCACGCACGGTGGGTGGGTGGGTCGGTCGGTCACTCACTCACTCACACCCACACTGCTCTCCTCCAGCTTATTTCACCTCTGGAAGGTAATTGGTGGTAAACGAGGGCAGATGAGCAGCAGGTGGGGTAGAGAGAGACAAGGGGAGGGACAAGAAAGGAGGAGGAGGAGAGGACAACACCACGCCCACACACTCCCACGTCCTCACAGGATGTAACAATAATAGATAACAGGGCGGTTACAAACAGACGAACAAATTATCTTGTGGAAAGCCTGTTTGTAGCTGATGTCATTGGAAAATGTTAATGTTTTGTAACTAAGATTTTATTACATGTAAAGTGTAATCATCATACTGGCAACACAGTTTAATCTCATCTACCTTTCCCTCCTCTTCGTCTCCCTCAGAGTGCATTCTGGACTTGCAAGGCATTGTGAGTGTAGGAGAAGCACCAAACGCAGTCGGGCTGCTGAAGTCGGGCCGACATTCGGGTGTCTTGGATTCACTCTGCGGTGTCTTCAGCACTGAACGAAGGTGTAAGCTCCCACCAGGAGTTTGTGGTCGGGCCGGTGTGCCTCCCTTTTGTAACGGGGTGCTCGGAGGCAGGTTCTTATCGAAAAACTCAGGAGAGAGGGGACCTCCAAAACGCACACGTTTCTTCTTCTTTGTCATCGTTGTGGGTGTCCCGTTGGACTCTTCCTCTCCTGCAAGATAGAAAATCCATACAATGCACAAAAATGTACTTTCTTTTCTCCAGGAGTCATTGTGTAATAAACACCAAGAGAGACTTTGAGATATTATAGATTAGCCTTGTTTTGTCTAAACATCATCTGAAACGTGAATAAACACTGAATTAAGGTTTTTGATAGAGGAAAAAAGTCAGACCGGCATAGTTTGTATATTTGTAGGGCTGAAAATTTGTTTATCAACATGACAATCCAATCCACCAAAATCCAGGTCTTCGTGTCAGAGTTACAATTAGGTTATTGTTAGGTTTAGGGTAAGGGTTAGGCATTCATTTTTGATGTTAGGGTTAGGCTAAGCAGGTAGGGAAAGCATTATGTCAATGGGATGTCCCCACAAGGATAGCAAACCAGACGTGCGTGCGTGTACGTAGCCAGTGTCGGTATAAGACTGTCGAAGTTACTGTTTAAAGAAGAAGAAGAAAAAAAAAAAAAAAAAAAAAAAAAAAAAGATGTGCATGATGACAAAATGAGAAAACATTTTTTTAAAGTTGTGTATTTGGAATCAGTACATTCTGATCTGGTATTTACAAATAGAAGTGGGTGTTTGGTGCAGCAAGACACATCACACAACTGTTATCAGACTAGGGCTGCCACAAACGATTATTTTGATAGTCGACTAATCAGAACGTGCATCTATTGGACGTAAAACGTACAGCTTATTGCACCAGCAGCATCTGCTCTTATATAACTATCATTAGCTTACAGCTTGAAGTAGAGCTGGGCGATAGAACGATAACGATATGTATCGCGATATAACTTTTCCTCGATAGAAAAATTAAGCTATCGCGATAGACCTTGCCGCTAGTCCTCTTTAAAAAAAAAAAAAAAAAAAAAAGAGAACAGCCAATCCAAATTAAGTAGCGCAGAGCCGAACCAATCACAGCCGCAGCGTCACGTCGCGTGACTTGTTACGTACAGCACAAGTGCCAAGCCGCACGTGTGTTTGTTTGGGAAGCAGCCAGCGGGTAATGGAGGAAATGAGTGTGCCGACTAGAAAAATCAACCGAGCGTGACCGAAGGTTACCGAAGAGAAAACAGATGATGGTTCCAACGCCGGAGAGATTGTCGAACGGAAGAGCCATAGAAGTTCCGTAGTGTGAAGGTATTTCGGCTATTTCAAGTCTGACAAAAAACAGCGTAGCGTGCACTGTAAATTGTGCCGAAAGCAAGTCTGGAAATACAATAAACTGGTGCATGCGCTACGTCCACACGTACCCGGGTATTTTTGAAAACGCAGATTTTTCTATGCGTTTGCACCTTTCGTCCACACGTAAACGGCGTTTTTGGTCACTGAAAACAAAGATTTTTAAAAACTCCGGCCAGGGTGGATATTTTTGAAAACTTTGTTTTTGCATTTACGTGTGGACTAGAAAAACGGAGAAAACGCAGCGTCCAAGGTGTGCGCATTTGTTTGACGTCACACTGTGCGCCACGTTATTGTTTCGGTGAAATGAATTTCTACAATACTGTTACTGTTAATTCTACTCTCTGCAGTGTTTAAATGCTTACATATACACACAGTTACTGTCCGTCCACACATACGACTCGGTTCTGCTTCTATGCCCCAGCTTTGTTTACTTTTTCCCACCGAGGCTTCTAGACTTCTGATTGGCCAACATTTCTGCACGGTTAGGAATCTAGCTCCACCTGCTGCTTTGGCATGTTCATAGCAGCGTTTTCCTTCATTTCTGCCTTTATGTGTGGACGGGATTATTTTTTAAAACGAAAACGGAAAATCTCAGTTTTCAAAAACACCCGTGTACGTGTGGACGTAGCCTCAGTCTCTGACTGGAAGCGCTAATTCGTCATTCGGCTTTTGTCAGACTAAAGTAACTGTTAAAACTGTTTGAAAAGCTCAGCTATACAACAAGGAGAGATTGAGAATTTCCTTTTAGTTCTCAGTTTATTTGATATTGACAAAAGTTAGTCAGTTTTGTCTGTTCTTCTGTAAAACAAACTAAGATTTATTTTTAGAATTAATATTTTGTTTCTAAGTGGAATTGACAATTTAGTCTGTTTCATTTGTTCTATTTTGAAACTTAAACGCTTTAGCGGCTGCCTTTTGTGTAGTTTGCAATATTTGCCTTTATTTATCTGAAAAAGTCTCATGTTCCTTAAGTACATCTACCCTGTTGAACTTATTATGGGAAATAAATATTTAAATAAAAACAAGCTGCTGATTATTTCACATTTTACTTGTGAGCAACGGCACATTTAAATCTTACAAATATAGTTATTTGGCTTATATCGTGATAGATATCGTTATCGCCTGAAATGAAAAAAAAAAAAAACATATCGTGATATGAAAAAAATCTTATATCGCCCAGCTCTAGCTTGAAGTGTTTTTACGGTATGTGCTAACTAAAAATAAAGACAAGATGATAGTTTATTACATTTTAATGAAATATGCAGGTTGTTTCAGTGAAGTTTAATAAACTCAGCCGTCTGCTATCTAAAATATAACAGGACACCGGAGTATATTCTCGAGCATCTCACACTTTTGATAATCAGCTGTCTGCTTGACGTTTATTCAGCTGTGTAAAAACTATAACTTTATTTCTCAGCCAAACCGATTTACTCAGGAACAAATAAAATACTAAAAAAGCCAAACAATAACATTTTGAAGTTATCTAAGTGACTTGGATATCATGCTTAACCTGAGTAGCGAAAGACGGCGGTGGGTTTGAAAACGATTTGCCGGGAGTCCGGTGTTCTCACCGGCTCTAGTGAGCGTTAAACCCCGGCTAGATATCGAGCTAGTGGGTAACAGACGTCTCCGAAAACGTCGGAGCGCTTTTGAAAATATGTGGTGTCTTGATAAACTGAGCAGATATTTGAGGTTTACACAGCTACATTCTTGCCTGAAAATATGTTAAACATTTATTTTGTGACCCAGAAAGAATAATAAGAGTAATATTAAAACTAACTAGCTGCCGCCATTGTTGGAAACTGAGCTGGGCTGCGCTATGAATTCTGGGACACAGCTTCTTCTTCTTCGGGGTTTAACGGCAGTTGGCATCCTTGTACATGCAGTGCTGCCATCTTCTGTTTCAGTCCGTTATTACACTCTTAAATCCTGCTACTTATTCCTGCGTCATTTGGGATCTTACAAAGCTTCAAACGACGCGTCGACGATTTTAATCGACTAATCGTGGCAGCCTTATATCAGACCATATTGGCCTTTTTTTTCCTCTTTTTTTTTAAAATTAATTCACCAACGCTCTAAACTGCTTATTGCTAAATACATGCATGATGTTCTTCACTACGGCAACTCAAACGAACATCGACTTCTTCGCTGAATATGCACCAATTCAGCCGAGCGGAACCTTTGGCTACACTGGAGCAAGCCACTGTGCATCGAGCCTCAAAGGCTAAACCAAGATAAAAGGTCAGTTACTCTAACAAGGCCACAGAGAGCGACATGTGCTCACCTGTGGGCTTCATCTCCGGCAACAAAGGGAGTGAGGGGATGCGGAAGGGGGAGGAACGCTGCGGTGGCGAAACGGCTGCAGGATCATCAGGAGGTGGTCGGCTGAGGCTTTGGAGTTCAAAGACTTCATCCTATTAAGAGAGCACACATGAGAGCTTTCATTCTGTAGTTCAAGGACAAGGACAGAACACAGAGAACAGATATTTGCATTTTAGCCAAGACTAGCATAATTTTTTGTACATAAAATCCAGAAGGACACTGGAGCACAGAACAACCATAATCATTTCATCTAATCAGTTCACAGCAGGCATCCTTTAAATATATTTTTTTGCAGACACTTCTGATGAGAGCAGGAATTGCTCAGTTATCATGAATAGCCCCAAAAATCACTTGGAAAAGATCAGAAGGCATAACCGAGAATGTTCTACCTTATATGAAAGCACAAACAAGAGGACACGAGTGTGAAAAGGACTCCGAACAACAGAATAGTAACATTTCTAAAAACTGGGCTTATTTTCTGTTTCCTAGCTTGACAACAACCATCAACACATCAGATCAAAATATTTAAGCTGAAATACTGACACATACTATATTGCCAAAAGCATTCACTAGTCTGCCTTGATATGCATATTAACTTCAGTAACATCCCATTCCTAATCCATACGACTTAATTTGATGTTGGTCAACCTTTTGCAGCTATAACAGCTTCGACTCTTCTGTGAAGGCGTTTCACAAGGTTTATGAGTGTGTTTATGGGAATTTTGACCAGTCTTCCAGAAGCACGTCAAACACTGAAGGTCTGGCTCACAGTCTCAGCTCTAATTCACCCCAAGGTGTTCTGTTGGGTTAAGGTTGGGTTCTGTGCAGGCCAGCCAAGTTCTTCCACACCAAACTCACTTATCCATGTTGTGTCACTGTGCTGGTGCACAGTCAAGTTGGAACAGGAACAGGACACGCCCAAACTGTTCGCACAGCATGAAATCATCCAAAATGTCTTGGTATGCTGAAGCATTAAGAGTTTAACTAGAAGTAAGCTGCCGAGCTCAGCTCCTGAAAAACAGCCCCACACGATGATTCCCCCCCCCGTCCAAACTTTACACTTGGGTCAATGCAGACATGGAAACTTATTCCATGAAGCTCTCTATGAACTGTTCTTGAGCCAATCTGAAGGCCTCCCACATGAAGTTTGGAGTTCTGTAGCGACTGACTCATAAAGCCTGAGGATTTAACTTTCATTCTAAACAGTTACAGACCATCACTGGCCCACTGCCAAACTGTACATGCTGGATGATGTTGTAGTCAGTGTAATGTTCACCACAGTACCTCCAGACTCTTTCATACTTTGTCAACTGACCTCATTAAGAACCTGCTTTCATCTGTTAATAGAACAAGCCACTGATAGCAAGGCTGCTAGTTGTGCAGTTTTCTTCAGAAAGCCAAATGAGCTGCACAGTGCTGGGCTGTTAGATGGACCAGTGTATACCGAATTCATCTGCCCAGTTATCACCAGAGGGGTGTGCTATAAAGCAACTTTGATATATTCAGACTTTCCTTGTTTTAGCTGGCTCTACAAAACCTGAAATCCCAGTGGGAAATCAAGGGTACCACAACAAAGTCTGTGTCTTGGTGACACTGAAAACTAACTTTAAGCTTGACATATCTCGCTAACCCATTAATCTTGTTTTGTGGTACAGTCATCTGTGTGACTGCAGCTATGGCTGGGCCATATCATACCGTTCACGGTAATACCGGTATGTTGGGCAACGATAAGAAAATGAAATCTCGCGATAGAATATGGGTAAAACGTGCATGCGCAGTGCCTTTGTTTACATATGCACATGGCGGGAAAAGCATAGCAGAGAATGAGAAGAGCAAAAGCGGATAGTTGACTAAAACGGATGAACCAGAATTGGTTTGTAAAAATGCTGCAACTTCAGTGGTGTGGAACTGGTTTAGCGTTCGTCCGTCAGATATACAACAAAGCACTATTTTTGGTAGAGCATGCTAGCGGGCCGTCGTTATTACAGTGTTTTTTGGAAAATATGGCACACTTAAAATCAATGCTTTGATTTTTCTGAAAATCGACAGAGCCCCTTATAATCCCGTGTGCCTTATGTATGAATTCTGGTTGTGTTTACTGACCTCGAAACAATTTTATGTACACGGCGCTCGAAAATCTGTCAAATGTTTTAGTGCGACTTTGCTAAGCTACGAAGCCGCACCGCTTGATGAATTGTCGAAGCATAACGGCTATCGTAGGCAGGAGCCTCGCGGAGTGATGCGTACTGTGCTTCAACATAATATTACCGTGTTGTGTGTGTATAACCTCTTTTTAAGTTTTGTGGATATTATACATGGTTATGCTGAGGATATGTCGGCCAGTTTCAGCTGGAAATGCCTTTCGGTTAAACTGTCAGCAAGAAATTTGCACTGTTACATTTTTATATAACTTTAATGCACATAAAAAACAGCTGCTTGTTTAAGTGAAAATACACTGATGTCTTTTTTTTTTTTTGCACTAATAAAGTTGTGGAGTTGTGAAGTGTTTTGTCTAGTGTAGGGTGAAATTTTTTTTAACTGGCAGTGTTTTCTCAAACATATTTCGCATCAAAGTGCTCTTTGAGGGTCGCAGATGCCAACAGAATTAATAAACTGATCCGTAAGGCCAGCAATGTTGTGGGGATGGAGCTGGACTCCCTCAAGGTGGTGTCGGAGAGGCGGATGCTGTCCAAGATAAAGACAATGTTGGATAACACCTCCCACCCACTCCATGACATGTTGGTCAGTCACAGGAGCTCGTTCAGTGAGAGACTGAGATTACCGAAAAGCACCACTGAACGACACAGGAAATCATTCCTGCCTGTGGCCATCTCCCTGTACAACGCATCCACTTAACACACTGTTTGCTGCTACAACTACACATGTTTCTTTTCCAACTATTTATTTATAAGTGACTTATGTATGTATGTATGTATATATATGTATATATTGTACTATTCTTAGTTAGCGTATTGTCTGTCTTGTCTTAATGTTGGTTTAAAATGGAGCACTGTAACAAAAAATAATTTCCCCCAGGGATCAATAAAGTATTCTGATTCTGATTCTGATTCTGATTTGGTTTATTTCTCCTTTTGGAAGCTTGTAGTCAAAAAAGGAAAAAAAAAAAATCCTGTTTGGCCCTGAGATCTACCGTTCATAAAGGCGTTAAAAATAATCGACGGCTTCAATGGGAGCCAGGCACACAGAGGTAAAAACCTTTTAGCTAAATTATTTACAGCAGTCAGTTAAGTGAGTGAGTCAGAGTGAGTCGGTGTACCTCCTGCTCCATCAAAGTGGAGGAGAGGGTAGGCATGCTGGCCTCTCTAATCTCCACACTGCAGCCTTCGGGGGGGCTGCTGGTGCGCCTCCTCTTGCTGGGTGTAGGCATCATTGGAGGGTCGTTCTCCTTCCCTCCATCATGGCTGTTCCCATCTGAGAGTGAAAAAAAAAAAAAAAAAACATCAATCAAAAAAGGCATATTACATAAACATAGAAAAACAAATGGGACTTGGGAGCATCTAAGTTAAATGAAAAGAAAATATCAAATTTCAAATAATATATGATAAAAACACAGCTTGGGGTACAAAAAAGGAAAAAACAAACAAACACCTTTGATCAGAGGAATAGAGATAAAGTCTCACTTCAGTAACAAACAGCTTAGAAACTGGGCCCATTTAAGAAGATGACCAAGCTCAGAGGAGATCCCTGCTGTAAGATGTTGTCACAGTCAGGCTTATACGGTGCAGCGCATTAATCCACTGCTTTATGAACGATGCCTCTAGACATCATAAAGAAATCCTTCTGGCATGGATCCTCAATGAAAAATGAAACTATTAATCCTGTGGCAATGAGGCAGCCTCACCAGACAGATAATCTCTTGTCTTGATGCATCCTCCAGTGTTGCTGTCCTGCGCTGGCACCGGATCACAGGCATCATTCTCCTCCACATCCATCAGGCTCTGGAAGGAAGCCATCTTCTGCCTCAGCGTGGAGGCGACCCGGGGAAGGAAGGGGCTACTTCTGACAAGCTGAGAGTTGATACAGCAAAATAAACATATCTGCTCAGTGATGTGCATTGACAGGCCAGAGACTTCTGAAATTACAAAAGTGGTATTACAGAGTGGCAGCACATCTATCATGCAGATTTTTATCTACACAATCCGCAAGTGTTACGGTTTACTTCACCGAACATCATCTCACAGGGAAGTCACAATGAAGGGGCATCCACAACAGCAACGGTGCAACCAGAGACCACTGAACGTGAAACTGTAAGCAGTGGTCGGTGAAAGAATTGCTGGTGATGTAAACTGGATGGGCCGCAAGTTAAACCTTCAGCATTTTGAAGTAATCGATCCAAGTGCCTCCCAGTGAGAGTGAATGATACCATTAACTAACATATGCAAGGGTGGTAAATAATTTGGAGCGTTACCTAGGCAACTGGAGCCTTTAATGCCAATTATTGACCAACTATCAGGTACAAAGCGATGCACAAACGAGCAAATAAGCTACATCCAAATGTAAAAGTTAAGTAAACTAAATAAATTAAAGGGGAGTCCTGAACAGTGAGATGTTATCCTGTAGGGGGTATTTTGTTGACATAGTTTGAGTCCATTGCTGCCCTCAGAGGAAAGATCAATGCCAATCAGTACAAAGTTGTTCAGCGTGATGATGAAACATTTCTTTCCTGAGAGTGGCGTTTTTTTACACCGATAGTGCCTCCGTCCACAGGGGATGAAGGCTCACTGAATGGTTTGATGAACACTTGTACAATTAATGCCAATGTGGACTGAAGCTCTTTTGGAGGAATACCAACATTACTAAGACACTCTGTGCCATTTTTTCCATTTAATTTGTCATTTACTGCATTTATGAACATTTCTTAAAAGCTGACTTTAAAGACAGGTGAGCTAAGACAGAAGTGTTGCATTAAAAAGCCCTTTCCATATAAATGTGCATTATTCAAAACCCTTTGTGTATTTCTCAGCTTTTAATAATTAGAGTAACAGGCTGATCTACAGTTGTGTTGTTGACAAGCAACATTTTTGCAACCAAACTGCAACAAACGTAACTAAACATGAGTAAGATAAGATAAGATAAGATAACCTTTATTAGTCCCACACGTGGGAAATTTGTTTTGTCACAGCAGGAAGTGGACAGTGCAAAAGTTATGAGGCAAAAATTAGAATACAATAAGAATAAATACAGTACACAACTGTACAGAATAGAATAAAATAAAATACTATATACAGTAGAATAAAATAAAATAAATATACAATAAGATAAAAATAGAATACAAATACAAATACTATATACAACTAAGTCACACTCGGAGGGTGTCTGCTGTCTACTAAACTGAAAAACACTCCAAAAAGCTGAGACATGGCAGACTGTGGTTCAGATCATGCTGAGAAGAATGATCCACGCCGGAGAAAAATCCTTATTTTGTAGACGTGTCAGTCGATGTTAACAGGAGTTTTGAAAACACAGAAGCGCATACAACAAAGTGAGCTTGCCAAAGTTGGGATTTCAATGCATTAGGCGGCTCGACAAAACCTAGAATCCCAATATGTTATGATACAGAGATAATCCGTATCATAACGGCATCTATTAACTTTCCTTTTTAACCCAGGCTTTCTGCTTTGCAGGCATCTAATGTTTTTTTTGGGGGGGGGATAAAATGGACCAATCAAACGCTGCCTACTTCAGTCAGGAGCAACAGGTCGTGGAGAAGGATAAACAATATAAAATACACAAAGAGAGAGACTGATGCCCGAGGAAAGCTGCAGAAAATAATTTAAATTCATAGTGAACGTATTTATTTTCAGTGATGCCATTCATCTGTAATTCATCAGCCTCACTAACATATTGCTCTGAAACTAAACTTTATCCCCAAGAAATGCACACAGATCACACACTGTCCCATAACCAAGGACAAGTGGAAATCACCTTGTGTTTATTTGATTGACTGTATAACCACCAACAGAATCAATATTTTTGTAATCCATCTTCAATTAGTTACAATCCCAACAGTGTAAAAAGGACCAAAACAACATGTTTTCAGATGTTCTGCCAAGCTAGCTGAATACACATGAACTTCTATGTTAGTGACACTAATACTCCTCCTCGAACATTCTGTCTCAGTTTTGTTCTGTGGCATTACTGACATGACTTGATGCTCAACAGGTCTGCAGCTATAACCCATTTCTGATAGTTATGAACAGTAATATCCAGTGGGAGGCTTTTGTTTGTTGTTTCTGCATACTCTGTCTGGCAGTAGCTAAGCATTAAAAAAACAAAAAAAACCCCAAGGAATATGAATCTCAGGCGGCTGAGTTACATCCAGTGAGACCTGAAGAGTCACTTTCTTTAACATGCTTCAGGTCAAATAGCGGTATTTTGATGCACTTTATGTAACAGATCAGGCATGAGAGACAGTTAAAATCCAAACAAACACATAAAGAAAAGCAGCTTTTGTGCTCTCTGCAGTTTTCATTATGGACCACATCCTTGTAGTATAGTCATATTAAAGGAGCCCCGAAACACTCAAAATTGTGTTTTCTGTCTGTTATGTATCCACGGCTTGCATGCGCCATATAGCGGACAATGATTCTTCCCCTCTCTTCAAAGCTTCATATTTAAATGTAATGAGGGCCAGAAATATGCAGAACTACAGAACAGAAGAGCCCAAGCTCTGGCACTGCACAGACAGCTGATGCAGTAAGAAAATCTGGCCCTTTCTGCAAATTGTACTCTCTACAGCATGATATGATGCTAAAACAGTCATAGACTGCTTAAATAAAAGCATGAGTAATGTTTGGTTTTCTACATATGTCTCAATGACACAAACGTCTCTTAACAGCTCAAACCAGCAATGCTATTTAAATATCTTCTGAAAAGGGCTTATTATTCACTGTTTTTCATCACACTGCTATTTTTATTACACAAGCAAAGAAATGTGATAAATGTGATGCATGACTGACTGAATAATACTGCTCACCGTATTACCTTAAACATTTTTAAAGGTCAAACATAAGTAAAGATGCTGCCACAAAGACACATGCTGTTAATCAGAGTTCAGAGATTTCCTCAACTTGTGTTTAGATTGAAGTTTTCACGCTCTATAGTGTACAACACAGGGAGGTAGAACTACAAATGCGGTACAGTTTCTGTGTCAATCATTCACATCTGGCGGGCTGCGGAGCTTTTCACTATGACAGTAATATCTTGTACGAAACTCTGCTTTATTTAACACCTTTTGCCAGAAGTCATTCTGTCATTCAAACGGCACTCTCACAGCAGGAGCTCTGTCATGTTTATGTTCTGCTCTGTTCATTTACTGCATTAAGCTAACGTTGATGCACAAAGCTACTGTCAATATTAACTTTCAGGGTACTTCAAAAGCTGATCATCGCTGCATACAGCAGCTTAGTGCAGCACAAAAAAAAAAAAGTATACAAACACCTACATAAGCAACTGTACTTCTTGTGTTGTCTGCCTGTATTCCCGCAGGTCACTGATTTATTTTAACTGAAGCTTATGCGAAGTTTAACAATGTGTGTTTAAAGGGGCTCAGATAGGATTTGTTAACAATTTCAATAATTAAAATAAAACATGAATTACAGATAAAAGAGGAACAAGTGTAAGCTGTAAAGTAAATGTTTAGCAACTGTAAAGCTTAAAAGGCTTTATGTATCTCATTATCACACTGTCAAGTTTGCGAAACTATCCGTTTGATGTTATCTTATGAAACTAAGAGTTTTACAGCTTTCCTAGGGTTTAAAGTCACTACTGCCATCTTGGACTGTTAATTCAGGGTTGCTGGGACTGCTCCAAATGGGAAACCTAAGTTGAGGAGGTAATGAAGAGGTGCACGACAAGCTGAAATGACACCAAAGGCTGGCATGCACTGGCAGCACTTTTAAAAAACGCACTGCTATTCATGCAGGAGACAACAGTAGGCATAATCCAGATGTAAGCGTTCACATGCAGTCAGGCCTACATATTTTTGGACAAGGACACAGGTTTCATAATTTTGCTTCTGGACATCCCCACGGTGGATTTAAAATGGAGCAGTCTAGAGCTGACTGAAGCGCAGACCTTAATGCTTTAGTTAAACTAAATGTTTACATTAGAGGTTTAATAACAATTTAACATAATCCATCCTTTTACTCAGGCTATGAGATTTACAAGGCAAACAACTGACAGGATCATTTTATGTTAACAAAGTCTAGAGTTCATTGAATCTGAATTTGGCAACTGTTCATTGGAAATTCCAATATGTAATCAAACAGTTGTCAACGCAAGCGAACGAGGTAGGAAGCAAAAACCAGAACACACTTAACAGGGAGAGAGAAGAAACTTTATGAGCAGCAAATCAGCAGTTTGCTACATTCTCAGAAAGACCAAATGCACTTGTGAGCACTCTCAGAGCAAGAATGTTCCAACTGGGAGGCTCTCTGTGTAGAGTCTGCAGGTTCTACCTTTGTTGGTTCTGTCCATGTCAGTGTGATAGATGGACCGATCCAATATTACATATCGGTCCGATACTGATGTAAATTACTGGATTGGATATCGGAGAGAAATAAAAAATGTAATCCGATCCATTAAATATCACGAAAGCACCTCACAAAACTTGTGACACGGCGTAACTCGGCTCATAACCGTAGCACGTCGGAGCAGTGTGCTCACGTGATAGAGCGGCTGTGTGTATTTGTAGCCTCGCTTCCAAACCAGCATTTCATCTCCAATGAAGTTATCTCAGAGAGAAGTAAAGCAAGTGTGTAAGTTCATCTCTGAATGTTTGTAAAGCATTCCCACGTTAAGCTTAACAACCGATATATGGAGCGAGTGCCTCTTCTTGCTGCTACTTCAATCGTGAAACTGATTAATGATCAGCTGATCGGCTTTTCTGTCGGAGTCCGTCTCTCTTGTTTGTTTTTGGCCCACTTCGCGCCAGAAAGAGGAAACCAGCGGATGAACAACAGCAGCACGTTTAAGCTTGATAAGCTGTTGTTAGGATTTATTTAATATTACTTTCTACACCAGGATCCTTTTCTATGTAGCTGACGGCTGGTAACTTTGCAGGGGCGGATCTAGCAAAGTTTAGCCAGGGGGGCTGATAGGGCATGAACAGGGAAAAGGGGGCACAAAGACATACTTTTCTTTCTTATTCTCATTTAAAATGTCGAGCTTTTAATAAATAATTATCTGACACCCAAAGTTTTAATCTGATGTAAAATATATAGAAGTCCATTACTGTATATAGTAACTGTTAAGTCTAATATACCCTAGTAAGCTATAATACTTTCTCCTTTGGGAAGGTACCACCTGTGCAGTCTGCAGTTCTGTTGAAGAAAGATGTTGAATCTAGGGCTGCACAATTAATCGTTAGAAAATCGCGATCTCGATTCATACTTATGTGCGATCTCATTTCCAAATGACAACGATTTAAAAAAAAAAAAAAAAAAAAAAAAAAAAAAAAGATGACGACGATTGTACTGCATTTTGATCCGGGACGTAATCTGCATGAAAACAAGCGCTCACTCTTCCTGCTCAACAAATGACAAGGGCGGAGCCTTATACCACGTGATACAGAAGCTGTGCCGTGTGATGCTAAAATTAGCAGGGAAAAAAACAACGGAGAGCACGTCAGGGATGACGAGAAAGTGACAGGAGAAAATCCGTCTTGGTCAACCACCCAAACATCAATAACGGGAACCTTATACAGCGCTTCCCTATACACGCTGAACTTCCGCAGGCACAAAGAAATTACAGAGGCTATTACTTATCACCTGACCAAAGATATGGCTCCCATCAACACTGTGCAAAACGAGGGATTTAGGAAAATGATCAACACCCTAGACAAATGCTACACAGTGCTGTCCCGCAACTATTTTTCTATTGTTGCACTACCTGCTCTATACACGCAGTGTCGAGCAACGGTGGAGACGGAATTTCAAGCAGTACAACATTTTGCGGCAACCACAAAACGTGAGACATTTGTTGTTTTTATGTTTATTTATTGTTTTTATGTTCAGTCTCAACTGTTACGAAGTTGATGTGCAGTTAATAAGTGCAATAAATATTTATACTGGAAAAGAGAATCGTGAGAGAATCGTGACCTCAATTCTAAGCCAAAAAAATCGTGATTCTCATTTTATGCAAAATCGTGCAGCCCTAGTTGAATCTATTTAATTATTCTTGAAAAATAATTTATTTCTGTGCATTTTGTTTTCACACTGCATCAAATTAAAGTTGATTATGTTGATTAAGCATCATGAGGTGGAGGATGGGGGGTGGTTCCCCATTTTTTTTTTTTGCTGGGAGTTTGCAACCCTATTAGTTAGGTTGCTTGATATTTCTGCTAAGTACTCTTTAAAACACCAGAATAGGAAGGATTGAGTAAGTTTAAGTTCATTAGATTGATCAGTTTTGCTGAACTATGAAACATTTTGGGTGCAGTGTATTTTTTTTTTTTTTTTTTTTTTTTTTTTTTTTTTTTTTTTTACATACAGGTATAACAGAATAGCTTTAGTGTTTTTGTTTATTTAAACTTGAGTATGAACGTATACAAAATGCAGCAATATATTAAACAAAAATGTTTTGTTGATAAAAAAAACAAAACAAAAAAACAACAACACACTATATCGGATTCATATCGGTATCGGCAGATATCCAAATTTATGATTTCGGTATCGGACATAAAAAAGTGGTATCGTGCCATCTCTAGTCAGTATGAATGGCAGGGCTTGCAAAATCGCTAACCCGACGTCCTGGGGCTAGCAATTTTTCCAGTCGGGCTACCAAAATCCATCTCTGCCCTGCCCGTCGGGCTGTCATAGGAAGGAAAAATATATGTCAATGCTTTTGCATTCTTTCGAAAATGTAGCTGGGTAATTATGTCATTGGCATCGGTGAGCCACTGTCAATATGTGACATATTGAAGTCGCGTTTGAATTTGCGCTTGTTTTTTGCTTTCACTTTGCAATCGCGCGAACTGTGTATAGAGAGCGACAGCACTGATCTGTGAGTGATGATAATTTGCGCACCAATTCCTCTGACATCGTCTTATCGATCATTAGCTTACTATGCAAACATGACAAGTGAAATCTCCCGCAGCTTAAACATGTGAGAGGTTGATCGCGCAGAGAATCGCTGAGTGTTATGTGAGTGTGTGTGTAAAAGCAGCAGGATATACATTTCAGTTCTGCTGAGCCAAATAAGACAGGTCAGGGTGAAGATGTGACCGCAAAATGGAAAAGTTATGACAAATCAGACTATAAGGCAAAAAGAAAGTGCAGCTTTATGGTTTCATGGACAAAAGAATTTCTGTGGCTGCAATATGACGAGCTAAATAACCAGGGCTGAACATAAGTGGTCCGCAGGTGCGCATTCGCTGTCAAAATAAAAAGCACGCACAAGATAAGAAGTTGCAAAGTGTGTTTGCATACATAAGATTTTCAGGAGGAGGACAGACATTTGTTTAGAACTCTTAAAGATGTCAAAGAAGCTCCTTTAAGCAATTACTGTGATGTTCCTCCACCTCCAAACAAATGTCAGAAGGAGTCCGAACCACAAAAGAAGCACGTATTCTCGGGAAAGTGGTTGCAGGAGGTGAGCTGGCTTCAAACAAATGATGAACGCACAGAGATGTGGTGCGGAATGTGCCGTGAAAATCCCACTCTAGCGGACAACAACAGTGCTTTTTATATGGACGCAAACGCGCGTTGCAACTTCTTATCTGGTGCGCGTCTTTTATTTTGACAGCGAATGCGCACATGCAGACCACTTATGTGCACCCGTGTAAATAACATAATGTTCTTCCGGGTGTGTTGTTGGTTTTCCCTCGATTTCTGAGTCGACAAGCGCCTTTGTTACTGGGACCAGTCATTTTAAGAAAGGCCCCCATTAGAACCCATGAGAAATGCAAGAAATGCATTATTGCTCAGTCTGCAATATCTTTCCCACAACAAACACCAATTGCAAAAAACATACTAAAAATAAACCTGAAAAATCTGTTTAGAACAGCGTACTATGTTGCAAAGAGTGAACTACCACTGGCACAATTTGGCAGTCTTTGCAAACTTCAAAAAGCAAATGGCCTCGATCTTGGTTCCACTTGCCTCTTACTTCAGTGGAAATTTCAAATTCAGGATCTGACCCAGACTGATTCATGTCCTACACAGTTCTTACAAGTTCATAGAAATTTCTGTTCAATTAGAACCAAGTATTTGAGTTGATGACTGTAATTTTTATACAATGTTGTAATTTGTGTTTCAACAATTTTTTGATTAATGTTTTGTTTTCTGTTACAATATTATACTTTAATGTATAATATTGTAAAGGAAACAAAACAGGAAACAAAACATCAATCAAAAAAATTGCTCTCTTTTTTATTCGGGCTACTTAAATTTATTTTGGGCTACAAAAAACTGAAGAGTCCCTGCCCGAAGGGCTACCAGGGATTTTGAAATTTTGCGAGCCCTGAATGGTTATCCGTGAGTTAGTCCACAGTGTGCAGGGTGTACCCTGGCTCTTACCCTGTGACAGCTGGGACAGGCTCACCAACACTGAAATCTGAAAATGTGATTATGTACAGAGGCAAAATAACACAACTGTGCTGCTATTCCAGCTTTTATAGGTACGTCAGTATGTATGCAGCAGCGGCTGTGACAATTTTCATGTGCGTCTCATAAAGGACGACAGACAAAGCATGTTGTACAGTTGTGCACTGTACCAGTAATCTATGTCAGTTTCCATACTGATCCCAGCCAACTGAAAGCCAGAGCAGTCTGAACAACTGTCTGGCACTCTAATAGGATATGACAGATGCCAGATTTGCAACCCGAGAAGCATCTCACCTCTGGAGTTTGGGATGCCGGTGGAGTCTTCCTCTTCTGTTGTGCCATGAAGCAGATGAGAGAATTTGTCTCTGGGGAGCCCCGGACGCCAACACTGGACCTCCGCCTGGCTTTCAGCTGTGCTAGACGAGACTTATCTGTCAGGAGAGAGAGAGAGGCTTGGTGCTAGACTAACACTCAATCAAGTCCATATAACCTGCTCTGGACACCTTTACTTGCTCTCCACCAGTTTAAAAGCAACAGCAGCTGCAGCCAAATAACGAACCGTCCTCTCTCACCTTTGCGATTTGATGATGCTGCTGGGGTAAAACTCTGCACAGAGATGCCAAACTGACTTGGGGTGAGCTCAGAAAAATTCAGGGGGGCTGAAGTTTGATTTAAAACTGAGGGGGTGTCCTCTACTGAGGGAGGCGACACAGCTCCCTCCTGATCACCCTCACAGGAGACAGTGCTGATCTCTGCTGTAGCCATCTGCAATGAGAACATAAGCACGACTTATAAATGAAGTGCAAGAGAACCACAAGGACAGGTAGAAGGTCCTAGAGGAAACATGGATAACAAAAGCACGCGACTAAGTCGCATGCATTTCCATAACAAATGATTTCTGATGGAACGCGTGCTTTTAGACGAGTGCTGAGAACAGGATTTCACCCGTTACAAAAAGAAATCCCTCCAGGGGCATGCTAACACAGACAAACACATGAAGATTTACTCAGGAGCATTTGCACACGCTCCACAGTAACAGCGTGTAATGAGTAAAGAACTAGAAACGGTCAGGAGCGGCGGGTAGCTGCGCTTACATTCCTATCTCCCTGGGTTAGCACTAGCAACGGGCAACAAAATATTAAACCCACACGAAAAACGTTAGTTTGTGAAGACTTTACTCGTCGCTGGCTAACAGTAGTAGCAGCGGCGGTGTCACTACAGTGACAACAAGTTTAAAATCTTACCTTGTGGATTTAGATACTTTGGTTGTCTCTCGTTAAAAAATATATAAAAGAACACTCGGGTCTTTTATGTTATAAAAAGAACACAACAGTCTTAACGGACGTTTATAACAATATAAAAAGACTTTCAAAAAAAAGAGCAGAAGGCGATTCAAATCCCCCTCCACACCAGAGCCAGAGACCGCGTATAGATCCCTCCGCGAAATTGTCAGCAACGTTCGTGACTGCAGTTATATATTTTATTTTTAAGTATATTGCTGGGAAATTTAAAATATGAATAAAAATGACTCAGTTAAAAAAAATATAGAAAAAATATTGGTAACAACTGACAAAGTGTAGAGGCCTAACTAACTTCCGTATTTTCAAGCACTTTGAAAGCGGCCGGAACTCGTTTAATATGAATTGGCCAATTGAAATGAAAGAGAGATACCACGTGACTGTCTAACGTCAACAGAGAAAATAGGGTTGCTATTAAAAAAGTTTATTTTACGAAGCAAACACTTGTTTGTTGCCTAGGAAAAAAGAACTTGTTTTTTTATTATTCATTTTCATTTTATTTATTTTTTTAACAGCGTTCTTGCTGTACTCCCTCAACTCTGCAAGGCCACATCTGCTGTTGGGTGCTCTGAAGCCCAGCTGCTGGAACTTAACTGGACCTCTCTCAAATTTAAATATCCACTCTGTAAGTAGAGAGGCTCCTGTGCTTTTAGCATTTTCTTCTTGAAAATTGCTTATTTATTGTCACATATGTGATAAAGATGTGGGCTTTGAGTCAGAAAATGAAGCACGGTACACAGGCTGCTCATCTTTTCACAGTTAAATTGTAAAATTGTAGTAAATTGACCACAAAGCTTTCATTTACATTTACACTCCACCAAAAAATTAAAACAAAACCCCAAAATGAATGCCACAGTGGGAAAAGCAATATTTAATGCATATTTTTTTTATATTAACACATTTTTTGTGTTTTATAATGGTTTAAAAGAAGGCTCGGTAAGCCTAAACAAATATATAACCCCAAACAGGTGGGTGAACAGTGGTCTACTGCTGAAAAGCTCTGTAAACCCTACCCACACACAAACAATCTCAAACACACACAGGGCTCCTCCTTTTGTGAGGTTTGAGAGTCTGTGGTGCAGCTGAGTACACTGAGATCAGATGCAACTTTGAGCCTCTTTCTACAGCTGGGACTGCCGACCACATGAAGCATGTGCCTTCTTCTGCTGACACCAGGAAAGGCTGTACAAGTCAGAGGGAAGCTTCACTGTTGTTTTTGTGCAGCACAGGATAGGGCAAGAACCACACTATATTTCCAAAAGCATTCAGTCATCCATCCAAACTGAATTCAGGTGTTCCAAACACTTTAGCGGATGCTAAAGCACATATTGCGCACAGGTCACCGCCTTTCTGCAGAGTCAGTCACTACTGGCCTCCAAAGTAAATGTGGCCCTCAGATAAGCTCAAGAACAGTGTGTGGAAAGCTTCATGGAATGGGTTTCCATGACCAAGCAGCTGCACCCAAACCTTACATCACCAAGTGCACTGCAAAGCGTTGGATGCCATGGTGTAAAGCACGACATCAATGGACTCTAAGGCAGTGGAAACGTGTTCTCTGGAGCGACAAATTATGTCTTTCTTTTGCACTACGATGAAAGAGTCTGGGTTTGGTGTAAAATTTGGTGGATGGGGTTTTATGATGTGCGGTTGTTTATCGGGAGATGGGCTTAGTGGCAGTGAAAGGAGCCCTTAATGCTTCAGCATACAGTGGGGCAAAAAAGTATTTAGTCAGCCACCGATTGTGCAAGTTCCCCCACTTAAAATGATGACAGAGGTCAGTAATTTGCACCAGAGGTACACTTCAACTGTGAGAGACAGAATGTGAAAAAAAAATCCATGAATTCACATGGTAGGATTTGTAAAGAATTTATTCGTAAATCAGGGTGGAGAATAAGTATTTGGTCACCTCAAACAAGGAAAATCTCTGGCTCTCACAGACCTGTAACGTCTTCTGTAAGAAGCTTTTCTGTCCCCCACTCGTTACCTGTATGAATGGCACCTGTTTGAACTCATCATCTGTATAAAAGACACCTGTCCACAGCCTCAAACAGTCAGACTCCAAACTCCGCCATGGCCAAGACCAAAGAGCTTTCGAAGGACACCAGGAAAAGTATTGTAGACCTGCACCAGACTGGGAAGAGTGAATCTACAATAGGCAAGCAGCTTGGTGTGAAAAAATCAACTGTGGGAGCAATCATCAGAAAATGGAAGACATACAAGACCACTGATAATCTCCCTCGATCTGGGGCTCCACGCAGGATCTCATCCCGTGGGGTCAAAATGATCATGAGAACGGTGAGCAAAGATCCCAGAACCACACGGGGGGACCTGGTGAATGACCTGCAGAGAGCTGGGACCAAAGTAACAAAGGTCACCATCAGTAACACACTACAACGGCAGGGAATCAAATCCCGCAGTGCCAGACGTGTTCCGCTGCTGAAGCCAGTGCATGTCCAGGCCCGTCTGAAGTTTGCCAGAGAGCACATGGATGATACAGCAGAGGATTGGGAGAATGTCATGTGGTCAGATGAAACCAAAGTAGAACTTTTTGGTATAAACTCAACTCGTCGTGTTTGGAGGAAGAAGAATACTGAGTTGCATCCCAAGAACACCATACCTACTGTGAAGCATGGGGGTGGAAACATCATGCTATGGGGCTGTTTTTCTGCCAAGGGGACAGGACGACTGATCCGTGTTAAGGACAGAATGAATGGGGCCATGTATCGTGAGATTTTGAGCCAAAACCTCCTTCCATCAGTGAGAACTTTGAAGATGAAACGAGGCTGGGTCTTCCAACATGACAATGATCCAAAACACACCGCCCGGGCAACAAAGGAGTGGCTCCGTAAGAAGCATTTGAAAGTCCTGGAGTGGCCTAGCCAGTCTCCAGACCTCAACCCCATAGAAAATCTGTGGCGGGAGTTGAAAGTCCGTGTTGCTCGGCGACAGCCCCAAAAAATCACTGCTCTCGAGAAGATCTGCATGGAGGAATGGGCCAAAATACCAGCTACTGTGTGTGCAAACCTGGTAAAGACCTATAGTAAATGTTTGACCTCTGTTATTGCCAACAAAGGTTATGTTACGAAGTATTGAGTTGTATTTTTGTTATTGACCAAATACTTATTTTCCACCCTGATTTACCAATAAATTCTTTACAAATCCTACCATGTGGATTCATGGATTTTTCTTTCACATTCTGTCTCTCACAGTTGAAGTGTACCTCTGGTGCAAATTACTGACCTCTGTCATCATTTTAAGTGGGGGAACTTGCACAATCGGTGGCTGACTAAATACTTTTTTGCCCCACTGTACCAAGACATTTTTTGACAATTTCATTTTCCTGATTGTGGGAACAGTTTGGGGAACGGCTCCTTCCGGTTCCAACATCACACCTGTGTACAAAGCAAGGTCTTTAAAAACTTGACTGAGGTCAAAACTGCGAGAACTATGCAATGAATTAGAGTGGAGCCAGGCCTACTTGTCCAGTTTCTCACCTCACAAATTTGCTTCTGCAAGAATGGTCAGAAATTCCCATAAACACACTCCTAAACATTGTGGAAAGCCTTCCTAGAAGAGTTAAAGCTGTTTTAGTTGCAAATTCAGTGTCAACTGAAAAATCAGGATACGCACAAAAAACCCAAATAAGAGCAGTAAAGACACAACACAGAATTTTGGCTGTCAAAGAATCTAAATTGATCTTTTATGCAAATTCAGCAACAATCTATGCATTTTGTGTTTTTTAGTATAATAAATGTCATGTCAAGAAGAATGTTTTCACAGCTCTGTGGAAAACTAAGTACATTCTTATTGCTTAAGAGGTTAAATAGCATCTAGGTACAAATGCATTTGATTAACTGATCTTCAGCAAGTGTGAGCATCTCTACAAAAGCAGATATTTGAGCAGTTTGCAGATCTGGAGGTTTCAGTTGTTTATTAACACAATGCCACAATCTTCCCAGGAGTGGACGCCAGTGCAGTTACAAAAAGACTAAACTATGGCTTGTTTGGAATGCTTAGCAAGAGAAATGACATAGCAGCACAGCATAGGTTTGAAAGTTGAACAAACCACTAGATTTCTGAAGCAATGTCCTTTGAGGGGACAAGACCAAAATCAAGATGATTAGCCACAGTGCATACCCCCACATCTGAAGAAAACCAAACAGTGCATATCAAAATAAAACACCTCATACCAACTGTCAAGCATGATGGTGGAGGGGCAAAGAGTTGGGCTTGTTTTGCAACCACACGATATGTGCAACTTGCAGTCATTGAGTTGACCGTGAACTCCTAATGTGAGTCTAATGTGAGGTCATCTGTTCAACAGCTAAAGCCCAAATTAGGTCATGCAACAGGACGATGATGTCAAGTCTATGGTACTTCTGCATCTAGCTGGCCCTACAGAATAGGAGCAAGCATGAAAGGAGTAACGTGGAAGGTAATTTCAAATGCAATTTTCTTTTTAACTCAACAAATATCAGCAAACACACAAACTGTTTGTGTGCAGTTTGTTGCACACTGTGTCTGCACAGGTCAGCTGATCATGACCTGTACATTAAGAAAATCTTCTAGGACCCTCAATAAAAATCATTGTGAGATGTGACTCTTTTCTCCACTCTGTAAGCGACTTTAGGGTTTCCCTAACTATTGAATCCCACTTTAACCCCTGACTGTACCCAGTTCTTGGTTTAGGTGTGGAGCCAAATGACTCTCTACAGTGTATCCACAGAAAATATAGCTTCTTTTAAAAATTCTTCTTTTTCTCTGCTCAAGTTCTTATTAAGTGATTCAAGTTGAGTACATGTATTAGAAATAAAATGTAGACTAAAATTAAGTTTGTATTCCCATGTACTAATATAATTTTATTGTACTTCTACTTAATTACTGATGTGTACTTTTGCCAACTCTGCTGCTAAAGTTCTACAAGCATTTGAATTTTGGGGTGTACTTTGCTATTCACAGGATCGCATCCAAATATGTAAGTAAAGTAAGTGACTGTGCCAGTGCTCATAAACTAACTGCTTGCTGCCTTAAACCTTCTCGTCCCCATTCCTTTTTATTTTATGTCTCTGACAGTCTACTGTTATTCCTTGTCCAAAATAACAAACCTAAGACAGGAACTTTTCTATGGAAACATGTTCTTGGCCCTCCATCTTTTTCTTCTTCATTCATATAATTTCACAGCATGGTGCTGGGATGACAGACTCAGTGTACGGATGGTGTATTAAAGAAGTAGTCCGATTCCTTATCTGGTGCATAAACAATTACCCCATCTTGTT